TACAAGATCTGTTCCCATCTCTTAATATCCCACTCCTCGCGTGTGATACTGTGAGAGTGCAACTCATGATTGGATCTGGGGTCCTGTTTCAAGCACTCCCCAGCCATTTCATTATTATAGAACCGTCGATCCTGGCATGGTCGTCCTTGCCACCGCCTCCCGCACCGCAACGATCGCGCCCAGGCCGACGACCAATTCATCCAAGATGCTAGTTACATCATCACCTGTGTCCATTCTAAAAACGCCTAAGAGCACCCCATCCACGACTGGGATTAAGCACAGGATGATGATGGGGGACGACTACAGCGATCTCTCCCTGTCTCCGTCGTCCTCGTCCGACGCGGAAACCAGCCCGAGTCCTCGGAAGCGGACGCGAGTGAAGTTTGATAAGGAGGTTTTAATGGTGCCATATAAAGAGGAACCTGAGCCGGAACGGAAGCCAGAGAAGAGCGCAGCCGTCGTCCGCGAGGAGGTGCGCAGGGCCATCCAACGGCATGTCTCTGGCACTGACAGCGAGGCGTACGACCGCATTAAGGAGACTTTTGCGGTGGACCCGCGGCGCCGGGATGAGGACAACATGTTTGCCTACGATGTACCTACACATACGTCCTTGAGATATCATCTCCTGGGTCTTTTGTCAAATGTTGCGTCCTTGGATCGCAGTTGCAACGGACTGGTCCAAGCTGTGCTGAATAGCGTATGGCTGGGCCGGGACGAGTCGTACATCAAGTTGTATATACGCTTTCTCGGTAACCTTGCCGCTGCCCAGGGCAGCTATCTGGGGGCTGTGCTCAAAATGCTGGTCAACTTTCTGGGGGAGCTTCCCAAGGACACGGGGAAAATCCCAGGTTACCCGTCTGTGCAGGTGCCGGTGCTTTACTCCCGCGTGCACTTGGCTTTGCGCCATGTTATGCAGTTGATTCCGTCTGGTAGTGGAACGCTGTCGCCTCTCCTGTCTGCTCAATTTCCGTTTGCTTCCGATTCGGCCAAGGCCAACATTGCGTATACGCGGAACCTCATTCGAGTGATCAGCTATGCCCCGGAGCTTCAGGGTGATATTCTTTCCCTGATTACGGAAAAGCTTGTCAAGATTGACGTTCACATTCAAGTGGACCTGGAGGACATCGAGGATGAAGTCGGTGAGGATGTCCTGCAGGGAGTCTCTCCGGAATCAGTCATGATCGAGGAAGATGATGCGGAAGACGACGATGACAACGACTCCGTCCTTAGTGACGATTCGGTAGACGATGAATCCAAACGAATCAAGGCCATTCGGGACAACATCCTCAAGCTGGATGGCATGATCGACACCATGTTCGAATACTACGCGCCTCCGTTCACGCTGGGCTCCCTGGACGACAAGGAGAATGCCTTCGATCTTCTCATGAGCCATTTCCAGAACATTATTCTTCCCACATACCGCTCGCGCCACTCCCAGTTCCTCCTCTTCCACTTCTCCCAGTCATCCCCCATCCTTGTGGACCGCTTTGCCGCGATGTGCACCGAGCTTATCTTCAACAAGACGCAGCCTGCCATCATGCGCCAATCAGCTGCTGCTTATCTCGCCAGCTTTGTTGCTCGCGGAGCTCATATCTCTGGCGAGGTTGTCCGGGATGTGTTCGATCTGCTGGGCACGTATCTGAACAGCCTCCGTCTTGACTATGAAGCTACCTGCCGGGGCCCCGACCTCCGCCGCTATGGCCCCTTTTACTCCACGGCTCAGGCCCTGCTCTACATCTTCTGCTTCCGCTGGCGAGACTTGACCACCGCTGCGCTGGAGGGCGACACTCCGGACCAAGTCGACGAGCTTGAGCCGGAGGACATTATGTTCCCGCCCTCCGTCAAGGAAGTGCTGCACCAGGCCATCCACTCCAAGCTGAACCCGCTGAAGGTGTGCTCGCCCGCGATCGTGTCCCAGTTCGCGCGGATGTCGCAGCACTTCAACCTGATGTACGTGTTCAGCATCCTGGAGACAAACAAGCGACTGCGCGTGTCCTCGTATCGCAGCATCGGCGCCATGGCCGATCCGCGTTTCAGCCAGGTCGAGCGGGAAATTCGCGCCGGCGACGATCTCGGCTACCAATTGGACGCCTACTTCCCCTTTGACCCCTACCAGCTCCCGCGCAGCCGACGCTGGGTGGAGAATGACTACGTTCACTGGCGCGGCATCCCAGGTCTCGATGAAGACGACGACTCGGACAGCGAAGCGGACGACAACGAGTCGGATGAAGACCTCAGCGACGGGACCGAAACGGATGACGAATTGTGATGCGTCAAGACCTGTCAAAAAGAACAACTCTAAAAGTGCTTCTTTATTTCTCTCTCTCTCTCTCTATCTGTCTCTCGTTCTATTGGCGAGCACAATACCCCCAATCTGTTTGCGATTATGCCATCTCAGCAGGTTTTTATGTTCCTCTGAAAAGAAGAAAAGTTCTCTTGATATCTAGTTTTTGTTGTTTCATGGGTGGGAATTTAGCGCGGCGTACGGAGATTGATTTTATTTCATTTGATTTATACACGCACGCATACATCGCATATGCCTGCTTGTTATCTGCCTGTCTATGTTGCCAGGTCTGCTACAGTGAGACTGGCACCGGGATGGCTTCTATAATGATGGACGATGGACGATGATGGATGGATGGAATGGATGGACGGATGTATGATGACATCAGCGGGGGTAGAAAGAGAATGAACAATCAACAAATTCAAAAATTTAAACTCCTGGACGCATGTAAACATCAAAGACCAGTGATAGTTGTAGTTGTTCGTTACCTGTTTCGACCGATCCAAAAGATGATTAGGTCGAGTACCTGTCTATAGCTAAGAGTGTCAACATGGATGTCCAAATCCAATCCAACATACTTTAGTTATCTACCTCGGCAGATTGAAATGATTTACTGATCATTATGTAAAAGAGGAACAAGAGGAGGGAGCTTCCCGTTTCTACATGTGAAGATGATGGCACCGGGATGATTTGGAAATTATAACCAAGTTCTTTTTGAGTAGTAGTGTGGATAAGAAAGGAACTTTTAGTATTTGTTATGTAATGTACAAGGTACGATAGGAAGGATAAGTACTACTCTACTATTGGTAGAGACTGTTTGGTTGGAAAGATCGTTGGCCGTTACCCGCCAATTGTTTCTTGAAAAGATGATGCAAGTCAAACGCTTATGCATGCAGTAACTTCGGTAGTAATCAATGATCGTCGTCTAGTGTACATGTAGATGTGTGTGTGTGTGTGTGTGTAGTAAAGATGATGTAACGATTCTAATGATGATCGAAACCCAAGGTAACGCCAATGACTCCAAAGAGTTATAATAAAAATAATAGGACGTATAAGGAAAAGGGATAGTTTATACAGACCAGGATGTCAAGGGAAGAAAGAAAAAACGCAATGAGTTATATGTACCGCCCATCCTCTGAGGCAAGAGGATGGGTCTACGCACCAAAGATATGCTTCATATCAGCACAGGCATCGCGGTAGAGAATATCAACACTATCCTGATCGCGGAACGGATTGGGCGATTTATCCCACGCATGGGGCGCCTTTTCGATCATCATGGCGCGGACATGTTTGTTGATATTCTGCAGACGTCGCACAAACACCTGGCCCTCCTTGAGAAGCATATCCCATTCGCAGATATAGAAGAAAATATCGTGCGGCAGGGCATCGGCGAGGATCTCATCCGTGGCGTGCACAGGCGACGCATAGGGCGAGACCCGCTCCTCGCGCGTAGGCAAATAGGACTCATCGAAGAGGTCGGTGAAGAAGGCGGGGAGGGTCTTACTGGGCATGAGGCTCATGGCGCGACGATGGTCACGCGACTCTTCGAAGTCGAGAATTGGGTACCAGCAGAAGAGGGCGACGATGTTGAGTTCGCTGGTGGAGGCGGCGGATACTAGTTGCTGGGTGGAGTCGTAGGGGCCCAAGTTGGGCGGACTGCTGCGAGGTTCGAGGGCGTCTTGTTGGTCGCGTTGCTGCTGCTGTTGCTGCTGCTCACTGAGGATACTGCGCAGGCGGAGGGGTACGGTGATGGCGAGGTTACCACCAGCGGAGAAGCCGGACAGGGCGATGCGCGAGACGTCCAAGCCCAGCTCGACGGCGTGGGCAGCGAGATACTGCAGGGCGAGGACGCCGTCGTCAACGGCGGCGGGAAACGGATGTTCGGGAGCACGACGGTATCCGACGCTGACCAGCACGGCACCGACTTCCCCGAGCACACACTGCGCCCAGCGACTGTCATCCGTGGGGCATCCTAGCGTGAAGCCTCCTCCATGGAAATTGACCACGACGGGCAGACGACGACCTTCTTTGCGAGTGATGGGGTAGTTGGGTGGCGTGTAGAAGCAGAGACGGATCTGACCCGAACCGGTGGGAATAGTGCGAACAAAGGCAGGCCGCGGAGGTCGTGGAGGAGTGACATCGTGCAGGAACATGCCAATGCGCATTAAAAAGCGCCAGATAATGGCTTGGACATAGAGCCACCAGCGGGAAGACGGCATTGGTGAGATGGCCATATAGCGGAGAGAAGCGTTCCAGAAAGGTAAGTTGTGAAAAGAAAGTTACGAGAGATCCGAGGCAGGGCAGGAACAGATGGGGAAGAGAAGGGAGAGAGAGTGTGTGAGGCAAAGAGGTTAACTCTGAGGATAACTCCGAGGGAGCGCCCGGAAGGTCGGAGGCAACACAGACCTGACCTGACCTTCCGTTCAAGAATAGCAATCAGTTGATTGGAATGAAAGGCGATTAATTTACGTTTGCAGAGGGATTAAGGGCCGTCTGATCCACGGAAAGCAGCTGCCGAGGAAGACGAAGAAGATCCAATGTAAGAAGAAGCCAAGTGATGATGGTCGGGATGACACAGAAAAGTAGTCATGCAGTTCATGCAAGAAGTTGACAAGGGAAAGAAGGGGGAATTAGAATTGGGAATGAGAACCGCTCTATTAGTTGGCAAAAAAAGAGTCTTGGACCACATCATCGGTCCTTCATTCCTGAACTGGACCCTGTTTCCACTACTCTGTAATCTTTGATTATTACATAGTATTTTAATTGATATCCCGGGTTTTTGCATCATCACAAGCATGACATCACTGCCTCGGGATCGACCCGCCAGCCTTTATTTGCTCCCTCGTATTTCTTCTTTTACTTTGCACGCTTATGCTGTTAATAATTCGACTCCTTCTCTCACATTCTGGCCAACTCTTGGGTTTGTAAGGCCCCTGCTAAGCTCTCCTACTAACCTTAATTGTCTTGGAAAACCCTGGGCCCAACCCAACTCTTCCTTCTACTTATAAGCGCTGACGGTCACCCTCTCTCCCCCTCCATCCTCCTCCCCCCTCTCATCTGCCCCCGTCATTGACGGTCATTCTTCCTCATCTTTACCCATTCAATCCTATTTATCACATCACATGGGAGTTGACTCCCACCCTCCCGCCCCCATCATGTCTATCAAACGTGCGCTCTCCAAGATTGTACCCAACAAGTCGTCTCCCGACGATGAGTCGAGTCACAGTACCCCGGCCTCGGCTGCATCCATGTCTCCCCGCCGCAGCATCCTCAGCAACTTCCTGCGCGATCGCGACTATGCCTCTTCCTCCGATGACGGCTCCGATGACTCTTCATCACCTGGCAGCATCAGCAAGAATCAGCAGAAACGCCTGGCACGTAAACAGCGCAAAGAAAAGTCCCGCCTGAGCGAGGAACGTCATTCCGACGAATCCGATTCGCGTCGGAAGGAGGAAGTTGCCAATGCCACCCGCGAGGAGACCTCGGAGATGAAGGCTCGCTATGGCGAATTGCCGCTGATACAGTCCCGGACACGCCCTCGTGAGGTCCGTACCAATCTAGATGCCATCTCCGAGTCCTTGGTGGGCCAGCAGATCTGTTTTACAGCTCGTCTACATATCATCCGCCGCATGAGTGCCAAGCTGGTCTTCCTTGTGTTCCGCCAGCAGCTGCTCACCTTCCAGGGTGTTCTGCATGAGGAGGCAGGTGTCAAGTCCATCGCCATGATTCACTGGGCCGAGCATCTGCGTTTGGGTTCCATTGTCCGTGTGCGGGGAACCATTCAGAAGCCTCAGGTGCCGATCTTGGGCTGTACCATTCACGACGTCGAGATCTCCATCGACGAGCTGCACCAGGTCGTGCGTCGCGAGGAGCCTGTCCCATTTAGTATCTATGAGGCAGAGATCCAAACGGCCGAAGAGGAGCGCATCGAAGGCCGCCGCAGTCACATCCCCGATCGCGTTCGTCTCACCAATCGTCTACTCGACTTGCGTACCCCGACCTCTCAGTCCATCTTCCGCATTCAATCCGCCATCTGCAACCTCTTCCGATTCGCTCTCGATGAGCAAGGCTTCATGGAGATTCACACTCCCAAACTGCAAGGCTCTGCGACCGAGTCAGGCGCCAGTGTCTTCCACGTGCAGTACTTCGGGCGAGATGCTTTCCTGGCGCAGAGTCCACAGCTAGCCAAGCAGATGGCTATCGCCGCCGATTTCGGTCGTGTATACGAGATTGGTGCTGTGTTCCGAGCGGAGAATTCCAATACCCACCGCCATCTGACCGAGTATACTGGGTTGGATATCGAAATGGCCATTGAGGAGCACTACCATGAAATGTTGGAAGTGCTGGATGCCGTGATCAAGTCCATTCTTCAAGGTGTATATGGTCGCTACCGCCGCGAGGTGGAGACTGTGAAGCACCAATTCCCGTCAGAAGATGTTGTGTGGCTGGAGAAGACCCCCATCCTCCGCTTCTCGGACGGTATCAAGATGTTGAATGACTCCGGCTGGCGCGACGAGGATGGCAACCCGCTGCCCGAGGATGAGGACCTCCACACTCGCGATGAGATTCGCCTGGGTGAGTTGGTCAAGGAGAAATATGGCACCGACTATTACATCCTTGACAAATTCCCTGCCAGCGCACGTCCCTTTTATACCATGCCCGACCCCGAGGATGATCGATACACCAACTCGTTCGACATCTTCATTCGCGGTCAGGAGATCGTCTCTGGTGGCCAGCGTATCCACGACCCCCATATGCTCGAGGAGAACATGCGTCGCTCAGGCATCGACCCCGATACCATGGAAGATTATATGGAGGGCTTCCGCTGGGGTGCGCCACCCCACGCTGGAGCAGGTGTTGGTCTGGAGCGTCTGCTGATGCTACTTCTGAAACTGGGCAATATCCGCCTAGCATCCCTCTTCCCTCGCGACCCCCGCAGCTTTCCGGCCAAGCCGGTGGCGGCACAGCTGCGGCACCCAGAGTCATCGACTATTGATCCTCCGTGGGCGCGCGACAGGAAGGGTGCCATCGCACAGGATACGAGTCAGCTCCAGCCGCTCGAGCATCTCATTGCCAATTACGGCGATGCTACCTCCACTTCCTGGGGCGATGAGCGCTTCAAGATCTGGCGTGACATGGGCACGGGTGCCGCTATCTCCTACGTGCCCAGCAGCAGCAACTATGTGATCATTCCTGGCAACCCCTTGTGCGATCCCAAGCAGTACCGCCAAGTGATCACACAGTTCCTGCAGTGGCTGCGGCGCGAGACCAAGTACAAGCCCGTCTGGCTGCTCTGTTCCGCCGAAGTTGAGACCATCCTGGGCGAGCGCATGGGCTGGCGAACGCTATCCTGCATTGCCGAGGAGCGCGTAAATCCAGCTCGCAACATGGCAGCCTCGGACGGCGAAATCGCCCGCAAGATTCGACACGCCGAAAGCGAAGGCGTCAAGCTTGTGACCGTGAACAGAGGCGAGATGGTCTCCGACGAGGTCCGCCAGAAGATCGACCAGCGCGTCCAGGACTGGCTCAACAACCGCAAGGGCACACAGGTACACTTGTCCGAGATCCGCCCCTGGCGCGATCCCGAGCACCGCTGGTACTTCTACGCCGTCGACAAGGAGGGCACCATCTGCGCCTTCGTCGCCCTGGCCACGCTCGCCCCCGTCCACGGCATGCAGATCAAATACAGCTTCGACTTCCCGGGCTCTCCCAACGGCGTTATCGAACACATTGTCACCCACGCCATTCAAACAGCCGCCGCCGCTGGCGTCAAATCCTTCACATTCGGCGCCGGCGCCATGTCCTCGCTGACCCCCGGCCATAACCTCCGCGGCGCGCGCATCAAGATGCTCCAGCACACCTACGACACCATGGCCAAGCAGTTCCATCTGGTGCGCAAGAGTGAGTTCCGGGCTAAGCTTGGCGCCGAGGACGACCCGCTCTACATCGCTTATCCGCCGCACGGCCTGGGCAGTAAGGGTATGCGTGCGGTGCTGCATTTCTTTGAAGATTGATCAATCTACCAACGATCTTGAATATCCTCTCTACTCTATTTACTAATATTGAAATGAAATCATGGCGTGTTTGTTATAAAGATCTGACTACAGGTAGATCTATGTGGCTTTTGGATGTGTTTCGTTCATGTCATGTTTGTGTGTTTCATTTGCTTGGGATGGATGGTTCGCATTAGATATTCCCCCTATTGTTTTTGTTGTCTTGGTCGTGGAGCGATGGATATGACTGTATGTTTTGGGGCTCTTTTTGTTCTGTGTTTCCTCTCGTTTTTGAATGTGCTTTCCTACAAAGACGGTATGATAGACGCAGCGCCTGTGTAATGAAGCCATGTTGTATGTATGTATGCCTGTATGGATGTCCTTGATGTTGGAAAAAAGAAAGAATGTCATGATGATTTGTCACTAAATCTGGGTAAATTGATAATATGTAAACAATAATCATACAGGTGCCGAAAGTAGTAATAAACCACTATGCAAATCTCATCCACAGTAATCATGATGCACGCATGTATATACCTGTTCAAGGAAAGATCATAAATCACCGCACCTTCTTCCCCTCTCTCACCCCATCTACTACTACCTCCCCATCCCCATCCTCATCTCCCTCCTCCTTCTCCCTCTCCTCAGCCATATCATCCACCACTCTCCCCAACTCCCCAACCACCCACTTCCCAACCAAAACAGCCACCACAGCCACAATCACCCCGTAGCACGCCGTCGGCACCAACGACCTCGGAAACACATTCCCCAGAAACGGATCCAGAATCACATCCACCGCCACGGGCGGCACATGTGTCATCAGCTCCTTATCCGTGGTGTAGTAGTCTGCCGCGGCGCGGATACGTAGGAATAGAACAGAGTCTGTGATGGGCTCGTTGCTGTCGAGGGGGATTTCGGGGTTGAAGTTGGTGGTGGTTGTGTCGTCGAGGTCGAGATTGAGTTCGGAGTTTGGAGTGCTGGCGAGGCGCAGGGAGGAGTAGTTTGTTATGGAGGAGAGGAGGAAGGTGTCTGAGAGGGCGTGCGAGAGGGTGTATGTTGTTAAGGTGAAGGATGTTGGTTGCTTTTTTTTTTAGAGTTAGTATAGACTAGGTATGAGGGTAGATGGGTGGGTTTGGGGTTCACTGGGGATAGGGTGGAAGGGTCACGTACAGTTGCTAGCCAGCATATGCGTACTTCATAGCGTCGACCAGGCGTGAGGTTTTGGAGGAAAAACCAGGATTCAGTTCCTGGTGAGGACTGGGTTGGGAAGGATGCGTTGAGGTGTGTGCGGAGGATGGGGTGAGAGGGGGAGAGGCGCGCGAGACCTAAGTCGTCGATTGGGGGATGTGGGGTTGGAATTGTGGTAGGGGGAGGGGCTAGGAAGATGGTTTTCTCGACGTTGGCGGTTGCGAGGGTCGTGAAGAGGAGGAAAGCGAGGAGGAGGTAAGGGATAGAGGAGGGGACATGGCGGGGGAGGAGGGGAAGGGTGAGAGGCATTGTTGGTTGGTTATGGTCGATGAGGGGGTATTTCGTGGTGTGTAGTATTGTTTTATATGGTCATTGTTGGAGGTATAGTGGGAGAAAAGCTGGAATAGGCCTGCGGTGTTGCGTTAGAAGACTTGATATCGTGTGAGAAGTGTGGGATTGGGATAGGTACTTGTCTGAAGCTTTGCTGGAGATCTAGATCGGAGCTGCGGTGGAAGGTGGAAGATGGAATATCCTTGATGTTTGATTCCAGGGATATTCGTGTTTGATATGGCCGTATAGGTTAAAGAGTCAGAAGGTGTAGGACGAGGACGAGGGATCAATTGAGAGAAGAAAACATGGCAATTGCATTGGTAATGGTGGTGAGCAACCCATGGACTGCGATGATCCGGCTGATGTTCGGCGATCTTTCGTCATGCCGTCACTGCTCTCCACGTGACCAGATCTTAACCGGAACAGGGTGCTGACTCAGCTGTTGACCGCCAGGTGGGCAGCAGCCAATCAGAAGGCCCATATCCCAACGCGACCCAACGGACGGATCAACCACGGCGGCATCGTTGGGTTGACAGCGCATGAAAGACCACAACAAATCGAGTCGACCGATTCTCGTCCTGCTCCTCCATTGTCACTAACCAAACAGTTCCCCAGGGTTCGTGGCC